AACGCTGTGAAGGGCACCGTGGAGGTGGTGCACACAAGGAGGGTATCCGAGGTGGTCGTATCTTTGCAGATTTTGCACAAAGCGATACTGTGCCCTGCTTGTCAAATATATTGAAGAGGACAGAGACCCTTTTAAGGACTGAATGCTAGGTCTGACTTCATATATGACCAACGCAGACTGCACGTTTGATGGCGTCGCACTGCCAAGCGCATTGTTTCCTCGATAAAAAAATCAATGGGAATATCACATGTGTAACCTACCTGCAGGGATAAAACTAGTGCTGGCATGCCATCTGTGAGATCCTGACTGTACAATGGCATACACACATACATTCCATTATTAATCGCCAGAGAAAGATTGACATCGAAGTCCTGAAAAACGTTCTTCATAAGGTGAAGGAGCTGATTTTGGAGCGTAGCCAGCCTGTTTTTCACTGATCATTTTCGCTTCAACAACCGGAGGAAAACTAGAGGCGCTGCGCCAGACCTAGCCTCCCTGATACGCCCCCAGCATCGGCAGCGATCAAGTCTGTGCCAGGACCGCATTCCGTGATGCTAGGTCTGTTGGAAAAGATGAAGAAAAAACTGAAAATAGGACTTGATGGCTGGACGCATATCAAGAGGACCACATCATGAGAGGGTCCAATAAGGAGCCCTACAGTGATGAGAGACTGAAACGGCCAGGCAATGCTGTTCCGGCAGTAAAAATGAAGATCAGGATGGAATGAGAAAATGAGCTTTTTCACAAGCTGAGGGCTGCATACTGAAGTTAATGCTTTGTACAAGCAAGCGATCAGGAACGAGGGGACCTCATACGTTGGGGATGCCTAGCAAGGGAGTCGTCCTTGCTGCCTTCAAAAATTTTTTACGAGCCGAGAGGAAACTTCCTCCGGTTTTTCTTGCTGTGAGCGCGCTACACCTCCCCCTCCACACGGCAATTGGGGGATGGAGGTGGAGAACGCTGGAGAAATTCTAGAATTCCACCGCAAAAGTGGTGAAATGAATTGAGAATCTAGGAAGACTGAGGGATGAAGAAGGTCGGGGGGGGGGGAGTCCAACCACAGGAGGAAGTGAGGGAGAGGTGATGGGGATTGTGCTTCGCAAAGAAAGTGCATTATCAGGGACACACTCCACAATGATAGACAACCACTAAGTCTTTCTCATTGTTGGGCTCATCCTGTTTCCCAGATAGAAGCCGACGAGTACGGCACAAGGGTTACGAGTCAACTCCTACTCGTTTCTCGTGAAACATGTCTTGAAAACCAGTATCGACCAATTCCCGGGGAAGCGCCATACATCCCAAGCAAATTCTGATCCATGTAGGCACCTGATGCATTTCTGGCCCTACCGCGACTTGCGTAAGCCAAGGCAGGATTCATCTGAATTAGCTCATGTCTCACGTGAGGAAAGGCTGGGAAGACTTACCTGAGCTTGAGGTGGTGAAAACATGGCATGCTGGAAACTGTTGCTCCTTTGCTTGCCTGCCGCAGTTGCCGCCCTGACTACTTTGCTGCGCTCAGCTCTCCAATAGTCATAGGTGTTCTTGTAATTAAGCCAAAGGAGAATTGCCTAAAATTTTGTATCCTTAAAGCTGTAACGGCCCAAAACTTATCTTCAACATAATGTGCGGCACAGTCTACGCCCTTCCTATGGGCGGGGTTGGACCTATCGTAGTTAATATAGTGAGACCTACCGTAGCTAATATAGTGAGCTCTTCCTCTGAAACTCTCAGAAAATATAGATTCTGAGGGTAGAGATGCACCAGCGAGGAAGGCACAATGGCAAATATCACTCCGCGCAAACGTCAGCGAGCACCGTTTTTTTTTGAAAAGGAAAACTCAAAACAAGCGAGCCTGCCAATCTTTACCTTGTCAATAGCACTGGACTTAATGAGAAGGATTGGGCGATTCAACGCTATATGATAGGAATACGACTGATGTGATGAGCTTTCCTTGTTTTCCACGCGAACCTGAACGAAGTAGCCAATAAACATCGAAAACCATGGACCATAGCCAGGAATCTACCTGCGTCATGAAAGTCGCTATTCTGCCAGTTCTGCTTGGAGTTCCTCATACTCTGCGACCTTCACCAGTTGCCCTAATTTGGCGTTGAACTGTATAGCTGCTGCGCCAAAAAGGCGTTCCTTTGCTGAACCAAGCTCTTTCAGTACCTGAAATGAAGAGACCACTGACCAATGCAGAGCGAGTTCGAAGTTTTTCTCTCCCACAAGTTATTTACAACCTCCTGTTAAGTTCTCATTGCCCTCCCCCCAACTTCTTTTCTTTCGTCAGATTCCTTTATCATTTTCGAAAACGCCCTATTAGTCCC